TTTTTAAAAATATATTTATTGATTTCAGAGAGGAAGGAAGAGGGAGAGAGAGAAAAAAACATAAATGATAAGAGAGAATCATTGATTGGCTGCCTCCTGCATGCCCCCTACTGGGGATTGAGCCCGCAACCCAGGCATGTGCCCTTGGCCGAAATCGAACCTCGGACCCTTCAGTCCGCAGGCCGACACTCTATCTACTGAGCCAAACCAGCTAGGGCATGGACAGATAATTTTTGTGTGTCCTGTACATTGTAGGATGTTTAGCAGCATCCCTGGCCTCTACCCACTAGATGCCAGTAGCACCACCCACTTCCAGGTGTGACAATCAAATATGTCTTCAAACATTGCCAAATGTCCCCCTGGGGTTGGGGAGGGAATTGTCCACAGTTGATATCCACTGGCCTAGTGAAAGGGTAAAGGTAAATTTTTAAGGTAGCACATTTTAAAGAATTAAGGTCCTAGAATCTTGCTCTACAAGAAACACAAATAACTCTCATTTAGCAGCCCCTGTAGTGTGTTCCCATTATTCCCCATGCATGTTCCTACTTAGCTAGTACAATTAATGCACAATTCCTGGTTTTCTTATTTGATTTGCCCATTAATTATATGTGGTGTGAATCTAATACATTTGGTGAGTTAATGAATGAATATGATGGGTACAGTGTCACATTATACATTAGGGTCTGTGATGTCACCCCTGGGATTTTTCCTCTTTCAAGGACCTTTGCAAAACCAGGTATGCAATAGTGGAGGGAAGACCAGGCTATGTAAGAAAAGATGCTTCCTTAGCTATCCTTTCTTCCAAGTGGTAGTCTTTATTACCTAGAATTCAATGCTTATCCTGTGCTAAATACCCTATCATCTACCAACACAACCCACTGTAGAGTTTTCTCAAGAATTTTAAAGTCTATGAAGGGGAAAAGTGATCATTACTACAAATGGAAAATTCCTGTTATAAGTAAACTGATAAATTAAATAATAAAATGAAGAAGTTGTTACAAAACCCTGGGTGAGGTCCTTTGCCTTGTCCCTACTCACTAGCTAATGCTTACAGGTTTCAGATCTATGAATAATAAGGGTGCATTCAGTTGCTGTCCAGAGATGTTGAAGGTTCTAGTGTTCTAGAGGGGCTATATGTGGAGCATAGGTGTATAAGCATGGGACTTCAGCTCCATAGTAAGGGGTAAGGCTGTGTCTCTGCACCATCTTCTTTTGTGGGTACTTTGGTGTTTAATATTGGTGAGTGCCTATGATGATAGGACCCAGGCAGCAAGAATTCATAACAACCTTGCAAAGTAACTATATTATTCCTAATTTTTAGACGAAGGAAGCAATGATTGAGGCCTTTTCGAAAGAGGCAGAGCTGGGATTCCAAAGATATTTTGCTACACCCCAGCAATATGGCCACTTTTCATTTAATCAGTCATCTGAGCTGTGGTCCAGTACTGTGCTATGTGCTTGGAATAAAAAAATGAATGAGACATGGTGCCTACTTCCAAAAATGTCACAGCCTAAAATGGAGAAGTGGTAAGAACAGGCACACAAACATAAAGCACTTAAAATTGGTATAAAATACGTATGTAAAAGTGCTGAAATTGTATCAAATAGAAGAAAGAGTGCTGTCTCTCACCTACCATTTTAAGAAGCAGATAGTACTCTGTCTATACGATCATGCTAATTACAGAGTTCAGAGATTACCATGATTAATTCAGTAAGACTGGTTAGCTTGCTGCCCTCCTTTAGTAATTTAATGGAGAGTTAATAGAATTAATTACCTTTGCCTGGGGGAAGTAGCTGTGTTTCAACTTATAACCTTAATTTATCTTTTTACCCACAACACTCTCTGTTTTACATTTATTTGTGGTTTCCATTTTAAATATCTAAAAACAATAGGGTTTTTTGTGTGCCGTGATAGTGGACACATGCCATCATGCCACACACTGTAAATGCAAAGTAAAACAGGAATATCTGCCGGCAGATTCATGTTAAAGAACACATGATATCCTGAACTCTTGCCCCAACAAAAAGACCAGCTAAGACGACATCAAAAGAGATGGACCACTTCCTCACTCATGTTACATGGAATTCATTCCTGGGAGACCACGGAATCATGGACACGCCCTGACCAAGGACAGGTCCCGTTAGAAAGAGGCCTCCTTTTCTGGAAACAGCCATTTCACTATTGAGCCAATTCAGAACTGCTGAGCCAGCAGCTTGCTGGGAAGGGATGAGTTTGTTTTTCTTTGGTGTTTAGGACTCTTATCTGAGTGTGGGAAGATGGGCAAGGTGTCCTCTGTAGAGTATGTGCAGCTTTTCATTCTCCAAGCTCACACTTTCTTAGTTTCCTATCACCTCTTCTCCCTCCCCTCCCATTTATTATTCAGTCTCCTTTTGCTCTTGTTCTTTCTTTATTCACTTTGATCTTCATCATGCTCCCTTTGGTTTTTGTTGTTGTCCCCAAGCCTTAAAATTTTTATGTAGGCAGTTTTTCCTTGTATTTTTGAAATGTGTTGATACTCAATAGTCTTCCTTATAGTATTTCAAAGTCAACTAAAAAAATGTTGATGAAAAGAAAAGTGAACCTGACTTTCTCAAACTTCTGCATGAGGGACGGGAAAGGTTCAGGTCAGTTCTTATTTTTATCTGAATAGCTTCCCATCCAAATAGGCAGCATGAGGAATGTAAAAATATTTAGGGGAATATAGTCATGGTCATGAATAATTCAAATATACATTAAGAATGCAAAACTTTTGAAGCAAAAGGTACATTTTATAAAGAATATTGAAAGACAGCAACGCCAGGGAATGAAAACAAATATCACCTCTTCTTATCATGGGTACTGAAAGGACACACTGAAAGAAAACAAGCACAGATTCCACCACACCTCCCAATTACTAATCACAAAGTACGCTGGTACCAGGATTCAGACCTTGTTTCTATAAAGAAAGTCAAATGGAACCACAGTAGTTAGCAGAACTTCTTACTCTTCCACTGTTATCTTCTTATATCCATCTTCATGTACCTTAACAAGCTTTTATTTATAAACTAGTGCTCTGGAGCACGAAATTCGTGCATGGAAGGGGGGATTCCCTCAGCCCAGCCTGCACCCTCTCCAATCGGGGACCCCTTGGGGGATGTCAGACTGCCAGTTTAGGCCCGATCTTACAGGGATCCTGCTGGCTTCTAACTGCTCACCTGCCTGCCTGCCTGAGTGCCCCTAACCCCTCTGCCTGCCTGATTGCCCCTAACTGTTCTTCCCTGCTGGCCTGATCTAGCTCCCAACTGCTCTCCCCTGTCAGCCTGATCTCACTCCCAACTGCCTCTACCTGCCTGATCACCCCTAACTTCCCTCTCCTGCTGGCCTGATCTTGCCCCCAACAGCCCTCCCCTGCCAGCCTGATATCCCCCAACAGCCCTCCTTTGCCAGCCTGATCTTGCCCCACTGCTCTCCTCTGCCAGCCTGATTGCCCCTAACTGCCTCTGCCTGCCTGATTGCCCCTAACTGCCCTCCCCTGCAGACCTGATCTTGCCCCCAACGGCCCTCTCCTGCCAGCCTGATTTTGCTCCCAACTGCTCTCCCCTGACAACCTGATCTGCCCCTAACTGCCCTCCCCTGCTGGCCAATTTGGTTCTGATTGGTCAGTTTTTATGCCAGTCAGCATCAAAAGCTCCGCCTACTAGGCAGCCATTGGCTCCTCACAGTTCACCCAGATTTGGTTCTGATTGGTCAGTTTCTATGCCAGTCAGTATCCACAGGCCTATCTCCAGGCATGCTCAGAGAGGTGGGGCTGATCAGCAGCCCCACGGAGGCCTGAAGAGAAACAGAGGTGCAGGTGCTGGTGAAACTGGAGAGAAAGAGAGAGGCAATGGCTAATCAACAGCTGCCATGGAGGCTGCGGATCAGGCCCTGCCTCTCTCTCTGGGCCTCTCTCTGGGCCTGATCCACAGCTCCCTTGGCAGTCAGTGCGGGGTCACTGCACCCAAACTGCCATCAGTCAGTGCTGGGTCATCATGACAACCCAGCACTGAATGCAGGACTGACTTCGGTGTTAGGTGGAGCCTTTCCAACTTTTAGAAATTCTGAAAAATATTCATATCCTGGTATCTGGACTGATTTCATTCTTGAAGTATATATACATTTATTTTAGGCACTTCCTTATTTATTTATTTATTTATTTTTAAATTTAAATTTTTAAGTATATCCAATTTTTAAGGAAACATGATTATCTCCATTTTAATAATAATCAACTAAAAGGACAATGAGTTTTTTAAAAAGAGGGCTTCTATATTATGGGGATGGCTAATCCTGTTTTATTCCAAAGGTAGTGTGATCACGTTGTGTGGGGATTCCTGGCAGCACAGTGCTGTTATTGCCTGGCTGATAGATTCAGTACAATTAAAAATTGGCCGATATCATTATTCCTTTAACACCTGGTGCCACTTGTAATGCCACAGCCCATAGTGCCTGAAACAGACTAGAAGATACTCAATAAATGTGTGTTCTTTTCCTTCTTCTTTAACTCTGTCTTGCAAGCATTCATCTTTGATAATCTTCAAAATACCATCTATAATTTAATATGGAAGTGTGTGGGTTTTTTAAAAGTTGAAAAATGAACAGACTTTTGTTTCTATCTCTTTAACACTCATGGACTCATCTATTTAGAATCCATTATCTTCTTAAAAGAAAAAAATATTATATATATTCAATATTTAGCTCCAACCTCTTTTAAAAATAATTTCCTTTCTATAAGATTAAAGTAAAAATAACTCCTTTAAACCTAATCTAGGCCATTTTATTTTCTAAATAAGATTTACTTTGTAGGATATATGACATATTCATTGTTGTATGGGTAGGTGAGCTCTTCCACTAAAATCCTAGAAAGCAGATTAAAAATGTGAAAGTCTTCTGAGAGCCCTGGAATCTGCCACATAATACATTGCCGTAACTAACTGAAATTAATGTGGGCGAAGTTATAGAGCTCTTGCTTTTTCTTCTCTAGTGTGATTCTGAGAAAGTCGTCCAACCTGCTGAAGGGCAGCAATTTATCACTCCAGAGCACTGAAGTTCCAGAAAGGAGACATGCATCACCAGGTAGGCTATTCTCCTCCCTGAGTTTAGAGCAGTTCTTTTGGAACATCCAGTAAGGTCTTTTGGAACACCCGGTAAAGGCCTAATCTTTAAAAGGGTTTATACTTTTAACTTTTCAGCAATATGGAATGCCTAGAATATCCCTAAGAGATTTAAATGTTTGTCATGGTTGTCTTAAGTGTGGCAGTGCAATGGTGCAAAGTTCTTGAGAATAATTGGAAATTAAGTCCTTAGTGAAACACTCTCTGGGAGCAAAAGCCTAGTTGGTACTCATATATTGAGAATTATAGACTTTGCCGGGATTGAGTAGGGACTCTGTAGTTGTCTGTGAGATGATGCTGGGATGGTACAGAAAACAACTCAGAAATAAAAATTATTGAGTGGAATCGCAGAGATTCATCCAAATTTCCCATCTTACAGATAAGGAATATGGCCCCAACAATGTTAAGTGTGGAGACCATAGTCATCCAGCAGACCTGATGGGCTCTTTCAGCTTGACCCTATTCTTCCAATTCAGAATCAGTTACCAGTGTGGCTGTGTGCTTCCTTCCTTCATAGGGGGCCCGTGGTCCCAAACTTTAATGAGCAGGAGAACTGAGGCTAATCCATCAAGATGGATTCTGATGCAGCTGGTCCTGAGAAATACCCATTCTTGAAGGCACAAATTGAGAAAACTCTTGAAACAGCAGAACTTTTTGACATACATTTGACAATATTTATTGGGTAGCAGCTATCAATCTCCACTGTCCTCCTAAGTCCTGGAGACATGTTAGTGAACAAAACAGAAAATTCCTGTATGTTAGAATATGATTCTATTCAGGGGAATAAAAGAATTCCATGGGACATTTAAGATTTTGTGACACTAAATAACACTCCAATGCAAGTTGATGGACCAAATGAGAAACGTCCTGTGTTAATGTGGTAGGTATATGGTGATGAGTGGCTCTGAGGAGTTAAGGTTCTGTTGTGAATGATCCATTCGCTGAATAGGGGAAAGCACAGCAGATTAAAAGCATAGTGCTGTGTTCCAGTAAGCTTTGCTTTGCTCTATAGCCAACGATTATGTTTCTAACCCTGGCTAGTCATCTTACAGATGCAGTGCCTGGGTTTAGAGAAATTAGTTGGTAATTTAATGAACTTATTGGTTAATAATACTATATAAGTTTCAATTGTGCAATTCTATAACACATCTGTATATTGCATTGTATGCTCACCACAGTTGGTAAATTCTTCAGCCTCATGAGGACTATAATAAAGCCTAGGGCAGTGGTCCTCAACCTGTGGGTCGCGACCCCTTTGGGGGTCGAATGACCCTTTCACAGGGGTTGCCTAAGACCATCGGAAAACACATATATAATTACATATTGTTTTTGTAATGAATCACTATGCTTTAATTATGTTCAATTTGTAACAATGAAAATGCATCCCGCATATCAGATACTTACATTATGATTCATAACAGAAGCAAAATTACAGTTATGAAGTAGCAATGAAAATAATTTTATGGTTGGGGGTCACCACAACATGAGGAACTGTATTAGAGGGTCGCGGCATTAGGAAGGTTGAGAACCACTGGCCTAGGACCTAATGATGATAGGTTACTGTATCTATCTTTAACATTAAAATTCTTTGCTGTGAGAATAGCAAAGTATTTCTGTCCAAAAATTATAAAAGTTAGCAGACTGGCTGAATGAATACCCATGCTATAGTTATGAGCATACTCTTCTAACTACTGCTCCTAATCCAGAGCTTTCTGCCACATTCCATACAGTGCTAGCCGAGGTCATTTTGGGAATTACTTAAGTGGAGTATACTGTTGTCTGGACTAATTGCTTTATCCCATTTATTTGATCTGAAATATCATTCAGAAGCCACTTTGGGGAGGAGAGAATTTATGATCTTAAGCAGATTTCAGCCTCCCAATTGAATAATTAAAAAGAAAACCATTATCACCAGATGTACATTGGCAGATCCTTTGAACAGATGTTGGATATGATGGATCTGTGGAGCTGATGGAGGCACCTCACATCCTCTAGGCCTGCACAGAAATGATTCCGTTTATTAGGCAATAATACTGGTGATGAAGTTTAATGACATAAACTGGCATGAAAGCAAATCACGTCTAAAACTACTGAAAAACAACCAAAAGCAGAACAAAACCATCACAATTTTATGTGAAAGGAAAAGCAGATTAAATTTGCCATTTTGCCAGAGTAAAACTTTCATGGAAGGTGCCTATTTGAGCACATTCTTACTGTGGGGTATATGAGGGCACAGTGATATTTGTGGATTCTTATGTGAGCCTGCCTATTATTATGTATGTGTTTATAGTATCCAACCTGTTCTTTCTTCTACTACAGCCACTGTATTTCCCAGTCCACGCTCTCATTTGGAAAGTGCTGGAACAGATACCTTCAATGGTAGCCAAGTCCTTGCCAGGATCCTTGATTTGGAAAAGGTAATTTCACTCAGTTGTGTAATGAACTGATAGCAAAGAACAGTTGAACAAATACCTCTTTCATTGGGAGAGGGATCTCCCAGAAGGAAGAGGTTTAGGCCATCTTTCCCATTTGGAGTAATATCTCAGGAAGATTCTTTTCTAAGGAGTTCTTCAGTAAAAAAAAAAAGAAAAAAAAGCTTAATTTTGAGACATTCTGAATTCTTTAAGGTCTTGAATATTTATTTACTTCCCTGTTAAGTCCCTTAATCAAACTTAAGATTTTCCTTTAATAAGAAAAACTGTAGTATTATATGTGATCTTTTCATTTTCTGAAGCAGAAAAGGAAAGAAAAAAACTATATGAAAGCAAACAAAGCTATAACACTCATTAAGCTTGCTGCCTCATTCATACCTTTGGAAAAATTCGAGCAATGGAAAATATTTCTCTAAAGTAATAACATCCTTTTCCTTAGCAGAGTTTAGGAAGCTTAACTATGGTTCTCCCTCTATTTACTAGTCATTTACCTGAAGATTCTAGATTGCAAGATAATACACATCATTTCTATCAAAGGTGTAAACTGGCATCCTGGAAGCGTGTATGTGTGTGCATGTGTGTGTACAGAGATGTTAAGAAATTAAACTTAAATGCGTTTAGGCAGACAAGGTACTCTTCTGTTAACTCTGCTTTTTCTTGTTGTCTTTTATCCAGCCGGATTCCTACAGTTAGGTTCTTTGGTTGGCCCCTGTAAGCATTTGAGTCTTGCTTTATGTGTTCTTCAGAAATTCAGAGGAGGTCATTTTCAATATTTTGCAATGATCTCTCTCTCTCTCTCTCTCTCTCTCTCTCTCTCTCTCTCTCTCTCTCCTTCCTTCCTTCCCTCCCTCCTCCCAGCACACAAGCACTTTAAATAATATACCCATGTTCATATTTTTATATGAACATATCTCTAACTTTTATTATATTTCAATGACTATAACCACTGTTGCTTAATATGCCTCTGTTAGTTACCCTTGAGTTTGTATTCTGTATAATTAAGGCATCTCAATAAACTGGTTATAAACCAAAGGATAACACAAAAATGAATGCCAGGAAAAGGTACCATACCTATCAAAGCAATTCAGCCAGTGCTGGTTGAAATATAAGACTTTCCCCTGCAGTCCAGTCTAGATGCTAAATATCTAGTTTCAATAATAAATAATAGTTGAGAGACCCAAAGCACCCTGAGTGGCATAGGCAGTCTCTGCTGTGCCCAGTAATTCTAATTTAAAGCTTTCCCCTCAAATCAGGCTACTAGTGTATAAACCAGGGAAAGTTATTTTATGCCATTCTATTTCTTCCATGTTGGTTCCTGGAAGCAATCATTCTTGCATTGGATCAGTTAAATTCTTTAACATCTAGAAGAGCAATGCTATCCTCCGAAATACCACTTCATCGTGTTGAAACTCCCAAGTTCTCTTTCTCATATGGAATAAAATTTCAGAATTTTGTAAGGCAGCACAGAATCATATATCCAGTGAGAATAAGTAAAAAATGAAAATTCTATGTCTAGATAGTTACATATTTTTAGACTAGTTGGAGTAGGGAAGGGATGTAAAAATTAGGGTGACATATTGATGCCTATGTCAGCAATCTCTGATTCCTCCCTCTTTTTCTTTACTGCTTTCTGCAACCCTTGCAAGAATGAGTAGAGAAATCATTCTGGGGTGAGTTTATGTGCAAAGTTAGGGAAGGGATTTAGATGAGTGATTAGAAGACCTGGCACTTATATCCTAGAATAAGCGGATCCTGTTTTGTTTCATTACATTTAGAAGTTGTGTCACTAGAGGGCAGAATATAGATTCCGTGATGTAACTTAAGAGGAGAATGAAGTTAGTTGATCATTACTGCACAGAGTTATAAGAATTAATTATTAAGAAGGACCCATTAAATATTATAACTAAATACAATTGGCTCTATAAATATCTAAGCAAGTTCAATAATAGGGAATGTGATCAATATTGTAGCTGAAAATATTGCTGCATCTGTGACTGATCAGTATTGTGAAATATATGGGGGACTTATGATTCCATAATGAAAATGTTTTCCAATTATTTCTTTCGGTAATTATATACTTTTATGTATTTTCATATGCATGTTTTCTTTTTTCCTTCATATACTAGTACATAATTATTTTTTTCTTTAAAGTTTTTTTTATTGATTTCAGGGAAGAATGGAGAGGGAGAAATAGATAGAAACATCAATGATGAGAGGGAATCATTGATCAGCTGCCTCCTTTATGCCCCCCACTGGGGATTGAGCCCACAATCTGGGCATATGCCGTGACTGGGAATCAAACCATGACCTTCTGGTTCAAAGGTTGATGCTCAAACACTGAGCCATGCCAGCTGGGCTTTATGCATAATTCTTAAATAAAATATTTGCTTTACAAATGAAACATAACCCATGTTTTTCTATTTCTCTGAATAAATACTGTTGGGCTTGAGAATAAACCCTTATGATGCTACTTTTTGGAAGTCTTTCGAAGATCATGGCTAATTTGCCATTAGGGGTCACCAAGAGTTAGAAACCCGAGCCTCTGCTGCTAAGTACCAACAAAACACTAAGGCTTTTAACCCTGAAGATTTTTGTCAGAAAAGATCTGGTGCCTTTAGGTTCTCTGGTCAGAGACAAAAAATGAGTTCAGTTAAACAAATTATATGAAAACCATTTAAATTGTAACAATGACAAAAATTACCGCATTCACACATTTGATGACTCTTCATGGGTAAGCCCAGTGTCTTTTAGTGTTATTTTGCTCTAATGCAGAAACTTAAAATGACTATTCTGAAAATATATTTCATTAAAGACTGGAACACTTTAATATCTGTATTTACTAACAAAATCATTCCACTCTTCCCACACACGTTTTTAGCTATTAAATCAAAATGCAACTTCAGAAGACATACGAAGAGAGCTGTGTGAGAGCTACCCAGGATACACTGCTGATTACACCTTCTCTTGGACCACTCTAGGGAAAAATGTTGTAAACAAATTTTGCCTGTCCAACATGACCCTTTTAGAGTCTTCTCTCCAAGAATTAACAAATCAATTCTCTCAGGTGAGTATAAATACTTGATAATAGTAAACATTTTCATATATGAAGTTTTAAGGGTTCTCCACCAAAATAAATAATATAAGATCTACTAATGGATATGACTGTACCTCCCAAACCAGGTCCTAAAGAAAAATAAAAGTATTACTCAGAAGCTAATTTTATTTTAAGAAATTAATCTCCAAAAATGTAATTCCAAATATAGCTCTGTTATCCAAACTTTAAATATGCCAATTTCTGTAGGTATAGGGAAAATGCAATTATGTATAAGAACAAAAGAAATAGTTATTGTCTTTTCAAGTCAAGGATGACTTCAAACTGACTATAGTGGTCCGCAAACTCATTAGTCAACAGAGCCAAATATCAACAGTACAACGACTGAAATTTCTTTTGAGAGCCAAATTTTTTAAACTTAAACTATATAGGTAGGTACATTGTTATTAACTTAATTAGGGTACTCATAAGGCTTATGAAGAGCCACACTCAAGGGGCCAAAGAGCCGCATGTGGCTCGCGAGCTGCAGTTTGCCGACCACTGTGTCACTAACAATTTGAGAGAATGGCTTATGTGAGAATCTAGATGTTTATTGGAATAAGCCATGTGATTACAAATGTTGAAGTCTCATTTTGTCCTGTTTGTGGTTTTACTTTTTAAAGATATCAAGGGACCCCAATAACCAGAAGACAGTATTTCAGGACATGGTCAAAATTCTATCCCTCTTCTCAAAAGTACAAGAGCAGACAGCTGTGTGGCAGCTTCTCTCTAGTTTTCCAGATGTGTTTCAGAATGACACGACACTAAGCCATGTATTTGATGTTCTTCGAAATGCAAACAGGTAAGAAAATGTAAGAATTGAGATGTTACTGTTTATATTTTAAAAAGTCCGTTTTCAAAAATATTACTTGTGAGGATCATTGGTAGGTAGGTAAAATTGCAGCAAATAACCCTTCAGCACCTTATTGCAGATTTTCGTAATGAAGGTAAAGGTGTTAGTTAAGCAAAGAGGAAACACACATTAAGGTCACTAGGGTTATCAAAATGTACATGAGAAAGTGAGGAAGAGCACTAATGTTACAACTAGATTGTCAGTTGGTATCCCTGAGTTTCTGAGAAAGAGGTGCATAGCAGGACCAACGGTAGACTGGAACATTGACTCTGGTTCATTCAGGGACAAGAGCTCCATGTATGTAGCATGTACACTACCTAAGAATAAATATTTCATTGGGTTTTGGTTGACACCATCCAATATGAAACAACCCTGTTTATTTGAGTTTTGAACTGAGTCACCTCAAAGGGATTGGTCTCCCTCCTGTGCTGCCAGGCTATACATGATCTTTCTGACCCTGCATATTGGGTTGGCTTTATTTGACACATAGAACACAAAGATTGGGAAATTTTGCAGAAGAAACCCCTTTAAAGGTTGCTTTCCTTATAAAAGAGACCAGAGTATGGCCAGCATTTACAGTTTAATGGAATGATACTTAGGCTTTGATTATCCCATCTAGTTAAGTTAAAAATGAGCATTAAAAAAAATCAACAATAACTACATCAACTGTCAATCATTGAGTCCCATTACATACCAGACAGTTCACTGGGCCCTTTATAATATCACATTAAGTTCTGCAAGTAAACTATTATTTATTTTATAAATGAGGTAACAGATGGTCATAAAAATTAAATATCTGATGATCATGCAGCTAGGAGGGTTTAAACCTGAGATTTCCAACTCCAGAACGCAGGCCTTCTCTCTAATATGTCATTAACAGTACACTGTATTCCATCTCTAGTGTCTGAAGCACCAGAAAACAGTGTTCTCATCTTCTTTGGAAAGCTTCCAAGAGCTTATGTTTATTCAAAGACCTTATAATAAACCCTTATGCTGGCACATTAATCTCACAACATTAAATCCTCACAACAGTGCTTTGAGATAGAGAAAACAGATATCCCCGTTTTATGGAAGAGGAAATAAAACCTCACAGAGGTCACATGACTTACCAAGGTTCTACAATTAGTAAGTAGCAAACACAGAACCTGAACTCAAGGAATCTAAGTCCCGTGCTCTTTCCACAATAGCATGTCATAACTAATTTGTAGAAGGAACAACATATTAGGAATTTGATTTTCTAGGTTGGTCCTCATTTTAGCAT